ATGTATGTATGTATGTATGCAGGCATACATACATGTGTGTACTTATGCACGAATGTATGTATGTATGCATGTATGTATGTATGTATGTATGTATGTACTTGAATAGACATGTGCGTATGCATACCTGTCTATCGATCTACTGATCTACCTACCTACCCACCTACCTATCAATCTATCTGTCCGTCTATATCCTTCTCCCACTTCTGAAGACATCATCCGACAAACAGCATCGCTACCTTTCGCTACCTGTACTTACTGTCATTCTTCCCAAACCTCGGGACTTGAGTCGTGGCACCTACCTCTAAGGCTTTGCCGATTCCACGTTGTTCTGATACTCCGGTGAAGTAGACCCCAGGCCTACGTTCAGCAAAGACCTTCCAAGACCAAACCCGAAACAGGGAAACTTGAAGGCTGCAACGAACCCGGCAATGAGCGCCTTGTTCCACTCCCATTTGCCGCTTTCCTGCAGAGAAAACTCTTCTTGGTGTCACTGCGCTGTTCTTGCTACATACTGCTCCTACTCCCCTCCTCATCCTGGACAGTTTAAGCTCAGCCGCCGAAAGCTCCAAACAAATAACCTCCAAAAGTCTTCCATGGGAAAATCGACGTGCGGCACCCCGGCACTCCACATAGGCTGATCCTACGTTCCAAAAACCTCTCTTTAAACCTCAACGCAGCCGTCAAGTTGTGCAGCACACAGGCCTTGCCCTCACCGGGCACGTAGCCCTGGCCGTCACCATGCCGGATCCACTGCCCAAGTTCCTTGCCGCCTCCATACCTCAAGGGCTTAGGGTGCTCGTACCTCTCAAGGCACACGATGCTGGTGAGTCGGGTTCTGGCTACAAGCATGGACTCTACAACATGCTGATAAGGTCCCCTTGAAACCACAAACCTCCCCCAGATCCTCCGAGACTACGCTCAACTCTTGCGTGCTAAACAGCTTCTGGGCAAGAAAGCTTTGAGCAAAGGCCAAGTTTCGGCCGAGTTTTGTTCTCAACGCTATGGCGGTGATGAACGAACTGATGGGCGGAGCCGCTTCTAATGAGCGAGACCGTCGCTGCTGTACAGACGAAGAAAATACTTCGTCGAGATGGGAGCCTGTCGCGAGGTCTGGCCGGGGCCCCGGCGTCTTCTTCTTCATGGTCCGCTCGAACCTTTCGCTGTTCTGGTTGTTCTGGTTGTTCTGGCTTCTACAGTGTAAGATCTGTGTCTAGACTCGCAACCAATCCTTCCACGTTACGAGTGTTGTCTGAGCGAGTGTTGGCTACGGCCCCTTGTGTGTCTACTACCCCCTATGCCAGAGCACGCCTACTTTGTTGCGTACCACGTACAACATTCAGCGAAGCAGCCACGGTTGTACAAGCCTTAAACGTGAACGAAGAATTCAACTGCCATCACGCTTCACACATGGGACCCTCAACAATGACTAGGTTCTTGGAGGCACATAGCACGTGGCTCACATCAAATATCCAGAACTCGGCGCTTGTAAAGCCCAGTCGCAGGATGACGCCACCGAATGCCCCCTGTTGGGTCCTTGCACGAGCATCGGTCAGGTCGGACAGTTCGGGTGAGGACTGTAGCGGGGATGTTCGACATCGGAGCGGAACCGAGCTCAGCATCAGAACCCCCCAGGCTGGCTCCGTCAAACCCAAATCTATCAAAAGCCGAAAGATGCCCTCAAGAGACCCTGAGAGCATGGCACGGACACGGCATCTTTCTTGAAGACCCCACGTGGGTCCCATCGCCTCGGCTTTGTAATACGACACACGCTTACACATCCGTAATCTTCAGACCTGCCTATGTATGGACATACACACGTACCTACCTACCTAGCTACCTACCTACCTACCTACCTATCTACCTACCTACCTACCTACCTACCTACCTACCTCCATACCTAATGTTATGCTATACTATACGATACTAGACCATACAATACTATGCACGTAACCAAACAAAGCACATGAGCAAGCTAAGCCACTTGAAACTCCCCATGCCAGGGTCTAAAACAAAATATCAGATTCTCTCTGAAGGCAAACCTACAACCGCTGACATCCTCGAGCTCCAGAATCACTGACTCCAAGCTCCAAAGGCGCGTTAAGCTAGAGTCTCAGAGCCCTGAACCCCAAGTCCCAACCCGAAAAAGGGAGGAGTCCCAAAACTCATGGGGCCCTGGCTTGATGTCCACCCAGTTGCGATCTGTTCCCTGGATGTGCGGATGGCAATGAAGTGAATGCCAGGATGTCGAGTTCAGCGTTACGGTCGGGGATGTCTGGTCCTTTATGGTTCAAGTTGAGCGGTACTCCTGTCTTGAGCCTTTGAAGCCCAAGCTGCTGCCGTAGGTTTCCTTGACTTGCTTGGGCTCTGCACTCAAAGAGCCCGTTCAGGGGGGTTCTGGGTCTATGGCCCAGGGCCCAAGGCCCAAATCTTTGGGCTGTGGGCTTCGCCAAGTCCGGTTCTTCGGCTACCGGGGACGAGGCTTGCGATGTGACCGGGAAGATATACATATATACATATATATATATATATGTATACATATATATATATATACGAGGGCGGGGTGCAAGGTTTTTTTCCCGCAAATACATACGAGTATCTTAACAAAGCATACCAATACTGTGCACTCCCTAGGGTTGTAGACCACTTCCTCTTCGAGTCACTGCTCGGATAGGCTTAGTTAGGACCTTGGGGTAGGACGTCGACGCTTCTGGCCTAGAGCTTCAAGCAGAAGCTATCAAACAGATCAGGATCAGGCCCGGGCAGTTGTTTCCTGGCTGAGGGACACCGTGATGCGGGGGTTCACGTTGTAGTCCTCCATGATGTAATAGCCCTGGAACCTGGCAGACCAGAGCTTCTTGCAATGGCTCTGGGGGCTGAGAATCAATGCACAGGCATGCTGAAGTTTAACCGGTCAAACGCCAGTCCGTGATGTTCCCCCTCGAACGCGCGCCGATGCCTACCAAACCCTTAAACTTGAACACCAATCCCGAGACTCTCCGAACCTTCATTAACTCGTCAATGCCGAAGCCCCAAAAGCCCAAAAAGAAGAAACGCCCTAAACCCTAATGTTGAAACCTGCAGAAAACGCAAATCAAACGTGGCAGCTCCCGGCTTCACGTACTTGACGAGGATCGTCAGCTGCCCTTGATGAGGCGTCTTGGGGCTCCTGGGCTCAAGCTCTTTTAGGGGCGTTTTGGGTTTGGTGTTTTGTCCAGGGCACTTGTTCTTCACTGGATTTCTGGTTTAGGGTGTAGTGTTTGGGACTTGGGGGTCTTTAGGGTGTAGGGGTTGCGGTTTTTGGAGGGCTTACAGAGTTCTGCTTTGAGGCCATTCTCCCTCTGGCGCCGGTCTTGGGGCTCGCACGCCTCGCGCCATTGCAGGGCCATGTTGATCTCACCCAGACACACCAGCCTCACCGAGCTTGGTGGAATCCGGGAGAATTCCAAGAGAGACCCACGACTACGCAAGGCCTGCTGGCAGTCTCGACATCACAGAATGCTGGTTGGCAGCTATACAGCACCTTGGAGTCATCATCTTCTTTTTGACGGAGAACACCCCAAGTGTTGGGCGAGCTCAAGCAAGCAGCTGCTAACATAATCGAGAGCAGCGGTGGGGAGCATTCAAACGCATGAGCATCTATTATATAGGCCATCATCAGCTTTGAACCGATTTGAACCCTCCAAAGTTCGATGGCCGTGGCCAGGCCCTCCAAAGTGAAGCGCAGCATTGGGTTTCCACCACCGGCGCCTTTTAGCTCGAAGTATTCGAAACAGTTTGTCGTTGGAACTCACAGAGTATCACGTGTGGGACTGTAGGCTAAGCATGATGAAGATTGGTGGACTGCTACTGTTTTTAGGGACCTTTTTTAGGGACATGGCAAATGCAGCGCACCCCAAAAACCTTCAAACACACATCCCCATGTCAAACATGCCATCTCTGCAAGCTCAAACGCCGAAACTTGGTTGCAAGCCTGTTCTGGTCACCGCCGCCGGCGTTGTTGTTTGCCATGTTGGGGTTGGAGGCCGCGGTGGCGTTCGCCGCCCTGGAGATGGATAAAGGGTCCAGGCCATTCTCATGGGGTTTATGGATTGCTGGCAGCTCGCCCGACACTGGTTGGACTGCATGAGACAGGAGACATGAGACACCATTCAAACGTGAGTAAAGCCTGTTTGTTGCAGCCCACCAAGAGCCAAGGCAAAAAGGACGGGACGGGAGAGGGTTGCGCAGCCGTCAGCCCAGACACTTGCTTGTCAAAGCTCTCAACGAGAGCCCTCTCCCTTCGTCAACACAACCACAAGAGTAGGGGACTTGCCCAAGTGCTGCATGGAACTAGACTAGACTGTACTCTGCTGGAATACGAGACTGTCACATATGTTTGCCCGAACAATGTGAATGCGGGATCATCACTTCACTGCGGGATACCGTCAGTTTGGCGAACTTGATCAACCAGGGTATGCCCCCTTCATCGATCTGATGTTTGGAGCACCATCGTCGCAGAGTCTGGCCTAAAGCTACAGTTGTCGAGCAATTATTGTTTGCTTGTCGAGTTTGCAAGCTACTGCCAACCATGCATGCCCTCACAACGAGTGGACTGGCTTGGACTGCTCAGGCCAAGGCACACGAGCTTTTTCAGATTACACCAGCGAAGACCCCAAACAAGCAATAAACCAATCAAGATGTTGCGCGAATTTCGAACAGGACAGCAAACTCGAAACGAC